ACACAGTAGCTCTTCAGGCGGATGAAGTCGACGGTCATCGGAATGGATTTGTCGCTGTTCCGATTCAGAGCTTTGATAGAATCCAGTAAATCGGCAAAAAATTTGTAGCCTCCCTTCAGCACGCAGAGAGCCACAATGTGGTGGCCCCCCATGGCTTTCATAATTTCCCGGGCTAACCTCTCCGTCCTATGGGAGCGGGAAAGAAAGAAGTGAAAAATCGAGATGTACTACAAGTACTCCCCCGCAGCTGAGGCCAACATTTCTGTCGCTAACCGAAACGGTCTGTTAAAGGGAGGAAAAAGCCCCCATTTTGCAGCTTTTCCTGTACTGCTGCAGTTGTCAAGTTAGCAACATGGTTGTTAAGTGAATCTGGCTTTCCCCGCTGTAGCTTTGAACCATCACTAAATGAAGTGCTGTAAGTCCAGGACTACCTCTACAGAGACCCTCGGGGTTTGCACCCCAGGTAAGCCAGTGGCTTCAACCCAGTTTGAGGAAACAAAGGTGGCAAGAATAAACAAACACGGCCTTCTTCTTTTTTTTTTTGAACCTCTCATCTGACAGTGAACCTGACTGTTGACCGGCTGGTCAATGACATGCCTGCTTTTTTCTCACTTGCCAAGGTTAATCTAATCGTGGTGCTGCCAAACAGCCTTAGATCTTCCAGGGAGCTTGTGCCAAAGCAAATCTCAGCCTCCAGATAGTTGACCAGACAACCTACGGAAGGTATCGGGCGGCGAGGTTGTTGGAAAGGAAAGGGAATCAGGCTTTGCAACGGCCGGATTGCCGGGGCTGTCCAGGAATTCAAAAGCAAAGTGGGGAAATGTCTTCGGATTGGAGAGCCTTGCTTTCGAGGTATGGCACAACGGCAGACCACTATAGCAAAGCTTGCCACGCATGTTATACACCTGCTTCCTTTACATCCTACATTGGGGGGGGGGGGGGGGGGGGGTCCAACCTTGACCACTTATGGACTTCAACTCCCAGAATTCCTCATCCAACCAGACGCGGGTGGCTGGAGAATTCTGGGAGTTGAAGTCTACAAATCTTAATAAAGTGGTCCAAGATTAAAAACCCTTGTTTTACATTTTTACATATTTTTATATCTATATCTATATATCTATCTACCCCTCCCCCCCATACACACACAAACACTACGTATGTATGTATGTAAAGGTTCCCCTTGCGCATTCGTGCTACTTGTTTTTGGCTCTAGGGGGCGCTGCTCATCTCCGTTTCAAAGCCAAAGAAAAGCCAGCGCTGTCCGAAGACGTCTCCGTGGTCATGTGGCCGGCATGACTAAACGCCTTTGAAGGCGCACGGAACGCTGTTCCCTTCCCACCAAAGTGGACCCTATTTTTCTACTTGCATTTTTACATGCTTTCGAACTGCTAGGTTGGCAGAAGCTGGGACAAGAAACGGGAGCTCACTCCGTGACGCGGCGCTAGGGATTCGAACCGCCAAACTGCCACACATATATGGTTAGTAAAGAGGACGTTATTTATGAGAAGAAAAAATGATTAGGCAGTTGCAGAAGCCGTGTTACATTTGTCCAGATTGCTAGGCATCTGCTTAGCAGGGATAAAACGAAAGATTAATCCTGGGGAGATTTTTAAATGTTCAATGCTTGCCTTGCCATTTGTGGCGGGAAGGCAGGCGAACGGCTGGCCTCGTTTTATCGCCACCCATCTAGTAGAAGTGCCACACGCTGCACCTTAGCTGGCACTGTCTCCGCTTCAGGGGACAGAGTCCCGCGCGGGTGGGGCCTCCTGCTTATGTTCCTTGCCCAATTTACACACACCTTCAGCTGCAGAGGAGCAAACTTCATAACTCTTCATCAGGGAAACTTCCTTAAAGCAAGCTTGTACAGATGGCCCTCGACTTACAACAGTTCGTTTAGTGGCCGGTCAAAGTTAGAACGGCACTGTTGAAAAAGAGACTTATGACCGTTTTTCACAGTTACAACCAACCCCATGGTCGGGTGATCGAAATTTTGGACACTTGGCAACTGGCTCCTATTTATGATGGTCACAGTGTCCCACAGGGGTGGTGTGTGTGTGTGTGTGTGTGTGTGTGTGTGAGGCAATCCCCTCCTTTCGCGATCTCCTGACAAGCAAAGTCACCAGGGAAAGCCAGATTCACTCAACAACCATGTCCCTCACTTAATGACGGCAGGGATTCCCTTGGCAAGAAAGGCCCCGAGTTGGGGCAAAACTCCCTTTAACAACCGTCTCTGCTGAGCAACGTAAATGCCGGCCCTCCGTTGTGGTCGTAAGCCAAGGACCCCCTGCCGTAGCAGGCGGGGAAACCTGCATTTCAGGACAGACCCTGCCAGTCAGACCAACCTGTCCAAGATGAGTCCGTGAGGTATGTAGACTTTTTCCAAATCTTCTGCGTAATGTTTGGGGATGCAGAACAAATCCAGGTCGTACCCTTGTTCACCATCCCAAACCAAAAAAAAAAAAGAACGGGGGGGGGGGAGGAGATAGCACACAATGACATTAGAAACCAGGACTCTGGGTTTTCTCCCCACCTGAAGCCGTGAGCCGGTGGCCTGGGGGGAGGGTTTGCATGCTTGGCATTTTGGGGTGGGGCCGAAAAGTCTCAGGGGATATGTGGCATTTTTTGACCCTTTTCAGAATGATTCGATTGTTTCAGACAAAGGGGCAGCGGATTTGCTGCTGCAGGCAATCTGGGCAATTCAGGGTTTCTTCATTCGTGTGAAGAAAGGCATAGGATAAGATAAATTTATTGTCATTGTACTCAGAACCTGAGAACAACGAAATAAGGTGCTCTTTCACAACATACAACTAAACAACACCAAAAGACATATACAAATAACAATGTAAAACAAATTAAAACAATTAACAGTTAAAAACTATACTATGTCACTTAAGGGGAAAAAAAAACAATATTTCCTGCTGGGAAGCAATGCCGGGGATGGTCAGCCGAGCAAGTTGGGAGTTGGGCAAGCCGTAATTTCTGGCTTGGTGAAAAAGAAACGTTTATGCAAAAGCAGCTTGGTGCAAATAGCCTTAAAATGCAGGCTTGCAAGGCTCCCTGGGCTAAAGTTTAATCACCGGACTGTTTTTGACAGCCTCCTCACTGCCACGCCTTTCCTCCATCCAGATACTTTCTGGTCCGGCCACCCAAAGCAGCTTCCAAAGAAGCCATTTCTACTTGTGGCGCTGCCAGCCCGTCTTACTTAACCGGGAACTCAACGTCCCACAGAAAAAACGCACCGGCTGGACCCTGCTCATCATTACAAGCTGCGTTTCCATTAAAAGCGCATTTCAGAGTGCAGATAACATCTGGTCAACAAGAAAAGCTGCATCCCACAAACAGAGAGCATCATGGTCCGTGACCCACGTTTTACTGAAAGAGGCAAGCGAGTTTGCAAAGATTCCATCTTTGGGACCCCGATGGGACCCTTTTGCAAAGAGGGACCTTTAGCAAATGTTAAATAATTTGTAACATATATCCAAGCCATGATTCAGGACATCAAATGGTACCCGACAAGTTCAGATGCCATTAAGAAAAAGAAAGAAAAAAGCTTTCACTTTTAAACCGAAGCAAGCAGCGTTCCGCTATCCTCAGAGCTATATATTTCAGCTTATGCAAAACATGTGCTGGAAGGGCTCCCGTATCAATGGCGAGGCTCACACACACACACCTGGCTTTCTTATCCAATATCCTGCGTGCTGATATGTCACCTGAGCAGCAATATATAACTAGAGAAGGAATTCCTTGCAGTCAACATCTCTTTGAGAAAGGTTCTGCAGAACTTTCGAGGTCAATTTGAAAAGCAATATAGAAACTGCCGTGATTAATAAGCAGTAAAATTCCGATTACTCTGGGGTTTTATAAACTCTTACATCACTTCTTTCGTTATTAGTATCTTTCAAGATCAGTCTCTTCCCCAGCCATGGGCTCTTATCTTTGGTTAAAAAGAGGGACCATGAAAACAATACACCAATAAACTAATAAAAAGCAGCTTGGAAGTTTACAGAGTTCTACTTGGGGGACTTGGATAGGACAGACCTTTCCACCTCAGGTTCAAAGCTCTAGGTTACTTCTACAGATTTAACAGAATGGAGGGGGAAATGAGATATACCACACAGGGACAGCAATCTTCACCTTAAAAGAAGAGAGTTTGGTTACGATAAATGTCTCCTAACCATTAGCCTCTTGGGTGCAAACGACTTGGGCTCGCTTCAAAAAATCCCTCCACTTTATAGCTGATATTTTTCTCTCCTTAACAAATCTGTTGGAACAGCCTCCATACTTCCTGAAAGATTATCCCCGCCCTGCACCTCCCCCGTTAAAAAATAAAATCAAAACAGAATTTCAGACAGGAAAAGAGCCCCCCGACAGATGAGGAAGCACCCACGTCCGAGGTCTAATGTGATCTCCTGCATTTAAATTAATAATAATAATAATAATAATAATAATAATAATAATAATAATAATAATAATAATGGTGATGATGATGATGGGGTTTGCAATGACCAAGGGATCCTCTGTTCTGCCTTTCCTAACTCCTGGGATTTGGGGCCTTCATCTTCCTCCCACCAGCCCCCAGGGTCTCTTTTTCCCCCCAGGCAAAGGGTGGAAGGGGTTTCGCCCGAGCAGACCCAGGTCTCTTTTTCTCCAAGCCTGGAGGAGGAAGTGGCTCCTCTCAGCACGTGCCTGACGAAGGGGCGGCGTGTGCCTGTTTGCCAGGCAGGATCCGACCCACCAGGCACAGAGGCTTTCCAGGATTCTGGGCAAGCGGATCTTGGGATGTTTCTGCAGGGATCTCTCTCTCTCTCTCTTTTTCTGAAAGTATCGTCCCTGTTCAGGCTGCCAGGCAGGCAAAACTTGTTGAATTGCTCTGGGACAGGCGGGGTGGGGTGGGGGGACATCCTGTTTGGCATCTGGGTGGCGCCCACCTACTCACACCTACATCCACCCACAACCCTCCAACTGAGGCCTTTAAAAGGACACCCCAACACACACAAACAGAGGGGTGTGTGTGTGTGTGTGTGTGTGTGTGTGTGATTATAAACACTTCTGGCTCCAGGCTTTCCCCCACCCTCCTAAAATTGCTCCCTCCAGGGTGGGGCAGAGCCCACCTTGCCCTCCCTCCAGCTGCTGCTTCTTCCTGCAGCTGGTAAATGGGGGGGGACGGACGGACCACACCCCCTCCTGGTTGTGTCTTTTTTTTGGGGGGGGGGGGGG